TATATATATAGGCCGTATACTGTGAAGTTTTGTTTTTAACGTAGGTCTTTGTTTCTCAGGTCAGTTATGAATAATCTTTCATTGGTTTAGTGTCTACTAAATTCCGTATAAAAAGAAAAAAAAGTATCTTTCATTTGTGAACTATTGAAGAATTTATATAGATATATAAATACGGTTACTGGGATAGCAGTATTTAATCGTTGATAAACAATTACATTTTGTTAATATTTTAAGCTATTTTTCTATTTTCTATTTTAATTTTAGTTCATTCAAGTTTTAGTAATTTTGTGTTTTATTAATTATGTCTATATACTTTTATTTTATTTAGCCTTTTTTTAAGTTATTTTAGTACTTCAGCTTGAATGAATGAAAATTTTGCTTTGGCAAGTAAATAAAAAATAGGGCCCAGATTTACTAAACAGGGCAATTTCAAAACGGCGCCGATTTCTGCGTATGATTTACTGACAACATGCAAATTAAAGAACACAGATGCAAAATCTAATTTCATATCGACCAACGCAGTATACCAAGCGAAGTGCACATTAGCGTAGTCGCAAATAAGCAGAACCGATGCTCATCAGGTGCAGGTGATCTACTTACGACACAGGTGCAAAATAGTTGAAGGCATGCTTTTTTGGGGCGTTAAATGATGGTACAAATACCTGTAATTTGATGAGCGCAAACATTAGTAAATCACATTGCGTGATTCATTTTAATACTCTCCTCCCATAAGTTTTGCCTGCATGAGACTAACTAGCTTTTAATACCTTATCAATAAACTTAACAAATCTAACAGAGGCCTTTGCTGACATTGACTTGATTGAGGATGTGTCCTTGTCTCGGGTTTAAATACAGTTCCAGTGATGCATCTCTGATCTCTCTTTCTGCTTGTATCCAGGATAAGAGGATTAATCTGAGTTTCCTGAGACTCTTCCGGGCCGCCCGTCTCATTAAACTCTTACGGCAGGGCTACACCATTCGCATCCTGCTCTGGACCTTTGTTCAGTCCTTTAAGGTCAGAAATTGACCTTTGACTTTACTTGGACAGCTTAGACAACATTGTCGACAGTTCAAGACAATTGTTTGTCTGTAAAATAACTGTATTTTGTCCTCAGGCTCTGCCGTATGTGTGTCTCCTCATTGCAATGCTCTTCTTCATATACGCCATCATTGGGATGCAGGTGAGATCCAGCGAGCTTTAAAAGACTCTCATAAATGTTACCCTTCATGCAACCTTTCCATCTGAGATCTCATCACCACAGCTGCTACAATCATCTCACTTAACGTTTACAGCTTTAACGTGATAGATTATTGATCTTGGGCTCATTGAATGACCACAGTCATCTGTAAAAATCACAGGCTGTTTTGCATGGGCAGGTGGTGTTTTTCCATTTGAAAGCTTCATAGGCTTTATGAAAAATAAGCCATTGTTCAAGTCTTTCGGTTGGATCTCTTCTTTAAGTTTGATTGCTCGTTTAAGGATGCAAAGGCAATCTCCCAGATTGTGTTGGAAATGATGGCGTCTGCCATCTAGTAGATTAGGACTGCATTGTAAATCAATGCTAATTGTATCCTGTAAGTCTGGGGAAGCAACATCATCAGTAAGCCATGTAATCAACTGTACGCTTGGAACTCCTACTGCCAACTCAACGTTTGCTTCATCATTCAGCGTAAAATGTGCTTTTGAACCAGTTTTTGCAATCTTTCTAGTATTTTTTTTATAGCATGATTTGAATTGTAAGCATATTAGAGTCATCCTTCATTCTGCAAGAAATGTGTTTACCTCGTAACAAAAATATGTGGGGCAAGACATTCCAAAGTGTTATTGGAATGTCCATACTATATTTTTGCTCATTTAAATGCAATATTTTTGTTAGTGCACCGTTTTAAATGTTTGGGGTCAATAAGAATATTAATTCATTCAATCAGGTTTTTATTTAAGATTCTCTGTAAATGCTCCCTCTCTGGTATTCCTTGCATATATTGTGCAAAGGTCACAAAGTTTACTGCCTTTAGATTATTATGACAAGACAATTAGACATAACTTGGCACAGAATGTTTTTACAAACTGACAGACAGGTCAATTATTTCCAGAATAATAAAAAGTGCACTCTCAGCATTGGGTTTAATATGCATCATTTGTGGCAGAAAAGTGTATCTTTTTTATTTTATTTATTACTATATGGATGCCACTTTAAAAGACTGTGTCCATCCATGGTCACTGGATGTGCTTTTGTAATGTATGTGGCTGACAGATTATTGTGATTTGTTTTACTGCCTGTCAGTGCATTGCAACTCTGTAGAGTCGGTGTGTTTGTTTGCATGTCTGCTGTCTGACAAAAAGTTATAAAATTCATAAGCACGAGTCACACTTTATGGAAAATGTGTATGTGGCCTTGTTAATACTGCAGATGCTTACTGTCACATACCCTCCAGGCAGTCTGAATTATTGACACAGTCCCTGCAGGTATTTTCATGCAGGCTCAATAGGAAAGTGCACACATTGCACTATGTAATTCTCAGCCTATCTCCACCAAAAATGCTTGCATTTTCTGTAATGCATCCAAAATTAGAATGCTGACATGCTTTTCTCTCTATGTCAGGTGTTTGGTAATATCATGTTGTCCGAGGAGTCGGCTATCAACATCCATAATAACTTCCAAACATTTTTTCAGGCCCTCATGTTGTTGTTCAGGTAAAGTCATTGTTTCATCTGTTCAGTCTTCTTAAAATATTAGCTCTCACAACTGTTAAAAATTAGTACAAGTGAATCTATAGTTTCTGCCTCTCACTATTTGTATGTTACAGGAGTGCTACAGGGGAGACTTGGCATGAAATTATGCTGTCTTGTCTGAGTGAAAGGCCATGTGACCGTGACTCTGGATATACTGGAAAAGAGTGTGGCAGTGACTTTGCTTACTTCTACTTTGTCTCTTTCATCTTCCTTTGTTCCTTCCTGGTTAGTGGAACAAATCTCAAATACAAACAGACACACAAATTCAAAAATGAAAATCCTGTCATCATTTACTCACCCTCATGTTGTTTCAGACCTTTATGACTTTCTTCTGTGGAACACAAGAGCTATTTATAGCCAAATGTCCAAGCTGCTATTTTGAATACAATGAAAGTGAATGGTGACCACAGTTGTCAAGTTTGATTGTCAGCAAATAATGACAATTTAGTTTCTCACAAAAGCTACTTTACTACTGTAGAATGCTTGAAATGAAATGCAGAAGTTAGGGATTTATTTTTAAACTTGTCAACCTTTGGTCCCCATTCACTTTCAATGTATAGAAAGAGCAGCTTGGACATTCTGCTCAAGTTATCTTTTAGTTTTCCACAAGGAAAACAAAAGTCATACATATTTGGAAAGACATGAAAGTAAGTAAATGATGACAGAATTTAGTTTTAGTTTAAATCTGTTAATTCTGTTTTTTTTTTAGAAATAATATATATTAATACTTTTATTCAGCAAGGACTCTATTTAAAATAAATGCTGTCCTTTTGAACTTTATATTCATCAAAGAAGACTAAAAAATGTATCAATTTCTATAAAAACTCTGATGATAATAATAAGAAATGTTTCTTAAGTACCAAATCAGCATGTTAAATAGATTTCTGGATGACCGCTAAAAATTCAAAGTATGAATGAAAGTAATTCAAATTACTTTTTTTTTAAGTGGATTAAATAGAAAACAGCTTTATAATTTGTAATAATATTTAATATTACTGTTTTGCTGTATTTTTGATCAAATAAATGCAGCCTTGGTGAACACGTGTTTTCTTTTGAAAAAAATAAAAAATAAAAAAATAAAAACTTAACCCACAAATGAAACAGTGCACAAAACATTAAATTGCACAGTGTCGCAGCTTTCATGAGTGCAAACTTCCAATAAAGTCTAGCCAACAAGACACCAATAAAAATAAAATTAATCTGTTATTATACATAATTCAGTCCCACTTTATATTAAGTGGCCTTAACTACTATGTACTTACATAAAAAAGTGCAATGTATTTATTGTGGTCATATTGTATTGCAAAACACTTTTTGTTACAGGTTTGGTGGTATGGGTAGGTTTAAGGGTGGGTTAAGGTGTAAAGGATGGGTCAACGGTGTAATTATAAATGTAATTACAGAAATTAATTACAGATGTAATTACATGCAGGTATTTTAAAAATTATACATACAATGTAAAAACATATATGTACACAATAAGTGCATTGTACCAAATTATTAATTTAAATGTAAGTACATAGTAGTTAAGGCCACTTAATATAAAGTGGGACCCATAATTCTATTTAATTGAGGTTTCTTCTCCTGTTTTACATAATTCTTCCTATATCCTACAACCATCAGATGCTGAATCTGTTCGTCGCTGTCATCATGGATAACTTTGAGTACCTAACACGTGACGCTTCTATTCTCGGGCCTCATCACCTCGACGAGTTCATCCGTGTTTGGGCTGAGTACGACCCTGCCGCCTGGTGCGTATCACTCCTCCACGGTGTCGCTGGCAGTTAGTGCCACTTTAAAAAAATGTGACAACTCGAGACTAATCCATAATAACTTCCAAACATTTTTTCAGGCCCTCATGTTGTTGTTCAGGTAAAGTCATTGTTTCATCTGTTCAGTCTTCTTAAAATATTAGCTCTCACAACTGTTAAAAATTAGTACAAGTGAATCTATAGTTTCTGCCTCTCACTATTTGTATGTTACAGGAGTGCTACAGGGGAGACTTGGCATGAAATTATGCTGTCTTGTCTGAGTGAAAGGCCATGTGACCGTGACTCTGGATATACTGGAAAAGAGTGTGGCAGTGACTTTGCTTACTTCTACTTTGTCTCTTTCATCTTCCTTTGTTCCTTCCTGGTTAGTGGAACAAATCTCAAATACAAACAGACACACAAATTCAAAAATGAAAATCCTGTCATCATTTACTCACCCTCATGTTGTTTCAGACCTTTATGACTTTCTTCTGTGGAACACAAGAGCTATTTATAGCCAAATGTCCAAGCTGCTCTTTTGAATACAATGAAAGTGAATGGTGACCACAGTTGTCAAGTTTGATTGTCAGCAAATAATGACAATTTAGTTTCTCACAAAAGCTACTTTACTACTGTAGAATGCTTGAAATGAAATGCAGAAGTTAGGGATTTATTTTTAAACTTGTCAACCTTTGGTCCCCATTCACTTTCAATGTATAGAAAGAGCAGCTTGGACATTCTGCTCAAGTTATCTTTTAGTTTTCCACAAGGAAAACAAAAGTCATACATATTTGGAAAGACATGAAAGTAAGTAAATGATGACAGAATTTAGTTTTAGTTTAAATCTGTTAATTCTGTTTTTTTTTTAGAAATAATATATATTAATACTTTTATTCAGCAAGGACTCTATTTAAAATAAATGCTGTTCTTTTGAACTTTATATTCATCAAAGAAGACTAAAAAAATGTATCAATTTCTATAAAAACTCTGATGATAATAATAAGAAATGTTTCTTAAGTACCAAATCAGCATGTTAAATAGATTTCTGGATGACCGCTAAAAATTCAAAGTATGAATGAAAGTAATTCAAATTACTTTTTTTTTAAGTGGATTAAATAGAAAACAGCTTTATAATTTGTAATAATATTTAATATTACTGTTTTGCTGTATTTTTGATCAAATAAATGCAGCCTTGGTGAACACGTGTTTTCTTTTGAAAAAAATAAAAAAATAAAAACTTAACCCACAAATGAAACCGTGCACAAAACATTAAATTGCACAGTGTCGCAGCTTTCATGAGTGCAAACTTCCAATAAAGTCTAGCCAACAAGACACCAATAAAAATAAAATTAATCTGTTATTATACATAATTCAGTCCCACTTTATATTAAGTGGCCTTAACTACTATGTACTTACATAAAAAAGTGCAATGTATTTATTGTGGTCATATTGTATTGCAAAACACTTTTTGTTACAGGTTTGGTGGTATGGGTAGGTTTAAGGGTGGGTTAAGGTGTAAAGGATGGGTCAACGGTGTAATTATAAATGTAATTACAGAAATTAATTACAGATGTAATTACATGCAGGTATTTTAAAAATTATACATACAATGTAAAAACATATATGTACACAATAAGTGCATTGTACCAAATTATTAATTTAAATGTAAGTACATAGTAGTTAAGGCCACTTAATATAAAGTGGGACCCATAATTCTATTTAATTGAGGTTTCTTCTCCTGTTTTACATAATTCTTCCTATATCCTACAACCATCAGATGCTGAATCTGTTCGTCGCTGTCATCATGGATAACTTTGAGTACCTAACACGTGACGCTTCTATTCTCGGGCCTCATCACCTCGACGAGTTCATCCGTGTTTGGGCTGAGTACGACCCTGCCGCCTGGTGCGTATCACTCCTCCACGGTGTCGCTGGCAGTTAGTGCCACTTTAAAAAAATGTGACAACTCGAGACTAAGTGGTTGAAAGATGCCAGTTTAAGAGGGTACGCCACTGGCGCTGTGTCTGATTTACTCAGAGCCTTAAGTCACAAGAATCCCATTTTACTGTGTGACCATGGTTAACATAAAATCCTCAAGCTTTGTCTATGCTGAGGAATGCAAATTTATCCTTTGCATGCCATCCAATTTTAGTCTGTATTGAGCAGAACGGATTTGAAGCCTATCCTCTCTGTCAGTGTAATCCATTTTAACTTTAAAAATGCACAGCTGAGAGTAGTTATCTCAATAAGCATGAAGTCTTTAGATATTGATGGAATGTGGAAAAATGTATTAAACTCTGTCTTTTTAACACATATCTTATTTTTTGCAGCGGAAGGATACACTATATGGATATGTACAATTTGTTGCGTGTAATCTCACCCCCTCTTGGTTTAGGAAAGAAGTGCCCTAATAGGGTGGCATACAAGGTTTGAAAACACACCTTCCCTCCAGGGGGCGGTGCTGTGAAAAATTAATGCCCATAAAATGCCTGAAAGTGCTAATGTCTGATTGGATTATACTCCCCCTCTTTCCTTACTAATTTTAATATGGGTAACCATGGTAAACAGGAAACAAAGCCAAATGCTAAATCCCTCATCCCAAACTAATCCCATATGTTCACTTATCGTAAATATCGATGTACTAGAGCAGCTTTTATTTGCTCTACTTTAAATTAGACCAAATATTAGCTTTGTTCCTGAGTATCTGATTGGTTAGCCGTGGTGCGTCCTAGCATGCAAGGACAGAAGCTCCAGACTGCAGCCCAATCCCATCATGCCATGTTCTTCATCCCTGGATCACTGGTAGCCTGTAGCTTTAAAAGCAGGCGTGATCCATCTGTCCTTCTGAGACAGGATGGTATCAGATACCCTTGACCTTCCTTTAGAATCCTTGATAACAATGTTTTTTTTTGTTTGTTCTTTTTTCTTTATTTCTTTCATTCACGTCACATTTTCTTCATGTTCTCCACTACTACTTCCTTCTCCTTTTTGTTGTCTGCGTGACCTTTGAACTCACCAATGTGAAGTGGACGCATGTCCTACCTCGAAATGTACGAGATGCTTCGCCACATGTCCCCTCCACTAGGTTTGGGAAAGAAATGTCCTCCAAGAATCGCCTATAAGGTAGATCCCACCCCTCTTGACTGTTCCTTAGCTCCTCCTCTGTCCTCTCATTGGCTGATCAGTCAGTGCTCTAATTGTGGAAGTGTTTTTTTGTGTGTGTGGCTTTGTGTTGTGCTCTTTTTTTTATGTGCCTTTTGATGGATGGTAATGAAACTCTAGATTTCCCTAGTAAAAAAATTAATTTATTTCATACTAAGTATAGTTCAAATCTATTAGCATATTTATTTACTGACATATCGCTCGAGAATGACTGATATAAAAGTTATAATTAAACTTTATTTGGAGTACTACTTGTGCACAATGCACATTTCTTCATATTAAGACTAAAATGTGTTTAATGTCACTATTGATGAGGATTATATGCTCTTTGAATAAAGCTGGTCTTTAAATGCAAGATATTTGAAGTGTACCTGAAGTATAATTGCAATAGTTCCACTTTAGCACAATCAAATATACTTCAGTATATCTTTAGTTGGACTTCCACCCAATTAAAGTGCATTAAGCACAAAATTAGTTGTTCCAACTTAGCAGATTTTAAGTATACCAGTTTAGTTTGCTAAAAGTACAATTGAGCACATAATATTAAGCACATAAATATGTAAATGTGTTTGTAGTATTCTTAGCATGAAATAAATGTATTTCAAATACATTTTAGTATATTTATTTTTCACTAGTTTTGATAGAAAACTCTAAGGTGTTTTGTCTTGAGAACGCCCTGAAAATTCTGTCTACATAGGCAGCACAGTAGATTTCAAAACAGAACAAAAGTACACAGCAGAATAAATAGACAGTCAGCACTCAATTTCATCTGCAGCAGTACTAAAATTGTTGCATTCTTTGTCTTTCACTGTATAAAAGAAACTAGGAAGTAAAAAATCTGAATATCAAAACTGAATCTCAAACGTCGCTGGTACAGGGCTGCCTGTTTTGGTCGCAGGCTGTTCTGCCACTTTGAGAGCTGCCTCCGAGTCAATAAGTTTACACACCCTGTTCCAGCTGTCTGAATGGGTAACGTTCAAGAGACACGCGTTCATGTCTGTCTGCCGAGCTCCTCTCTGAAGCCACACAGTCTGCGTGTGTGAAGGCTTGAGGATGCGACGTTCTCCAGCGAGCTCGAAATAGAACAAGACCCCACTTCCCCCGAGTTCAGAGCACTGAATCAACAGGGAGGAAAGAAAGAAAGCTTGCTGTAGATGTGTGCTCAGTGGAGCGTCCTTTCCCTTTTTCATTGGTAGTTGCTGTGGAAAGATGTCTATGCTGGCCTACGCACTCTAATGAAGGCAGAGCGTTGTCCCTGTGCATGATGTTACTCTCCTTCACGCTACACCACAGAAACAGATCCATTCTCTGTTTATTTTGCATCTGTTTTCTTTTAAACACTATAATTAATGCTGGGTGTGTTAATGTGTGGAGTGTCTACTCTGGCTTCACCTTGAGTGACGCATTTTTGTGGTTGGTGCATTTGTGGCTATTGGTTTTGGTTGGTCAGCATGTTATCTTTTCTCGCTTTCTGGTCATCATCCTTTCTGAAGGTCATCGCTGACTTTGTAAAAACACAAGAAAAGCAGCCCATCAACACCTCACATTTCAGTGCGCATGAACTAGTGCATTTGCATTCTCTACGTGGACAGTAGTCATAGCTGCCCGCATGCAAACTGGCAGTATTTATTACTGAGACCTCAAACACAAAGGATAAAGAATATTATAAGTTTGATTTTTCAAGGTCCATATTTTACCTCCAATTGAAGACACAGCAGTTTTTGCTTAAACATGTTAAAATACACACAAACAGCTCAAAGTGTTCATATGATCTTATACATTGTCAGGTTATTAAGCATAATCATTGTAAGATTGTTTATGTAATCACATTTACTGAGAAACCTGTGAACCAGTAATGGCTAAAGCTCACACTGTTCTCAGTGTGACAAAAACAGATTTACTGTCTGCTAACTGGAGAAATGCGGCAAAACATCTTCCATTTCCAACATCCCTTATCCTCTGCATGAAATATAAACACACTCTCTCCCTCCTCGCATTTTGATGTCCTGAAGAGACAATTTGTGTGCTGAGATGAGAGTTCGGAAATGACTATTGATGAAAGGGAAATTACATAGACCAAGTCACTACCCTCCCTCAGCATGCAAACTCCTCCTGTCATTTGTAATGGTCATTTCTGTATCCTGCAGTCATGTGTGATATTAATCACAAACTATTTGTGTCCGTGACTCCACAGCGGTTGGTGAGGATGAACATGCCCATAGCTGAAGATAGTACGGTTCACTTTACCTCCACTTTAATGGCTCTCATCCGGACCGCCCTGGAGATTAAACTGGCATCAGGTGAGTGTCCACTTGGAGCCCTCAGGGCCAGTCACTGGCATTTGTCAAAAGCTCCTTTAACTGTCCATCTGCTCCAGCAGCGCTTTTCACCAGTCACTGCTCTGTTCCATCAGCCTCGTTTAATTCAATACTCCACCATCTTAAAAGTGTTACAAGTTAATTGAATGACGCTTTCCCCGCTGACTTTGACTTTTATTTAACCTTTGGTTAACTTGGTGCAAAATATGATTAAAGAATAAGATAACATCCATTAACAGCTTGACAAAAAAAATCTTGTGGGGATATTAAGGACAAGAATTATGAAAGACTGTTAGATACTGTGGTAACACTATGCATGACCATATACTACATCCCTAATTCTACCTAATATCTAACCTTTACTACCTTAGAAACTATTAATAAGCAGAAAATTAGGAGTTTATTAAGGCAAAAGTCGTAGTTAATGGTTTGTTAATAGCTAGAATTGGATCTTAAAATAAAGTGTGACCGATACTGTTAATATTGTGTATTTTTTTAGGAGTTCTGGCTCAGCGGCTTTGTGATGCTGAATTAAGGAAGGAAATAAATAAAATTTGGACTAACTTGTCTTCAAAAACAGTGGACCTGCTGGTGACACCTCATAAACGTAAGCCCTGCATTTAGAAACTCTTGCTAAAGTAATGTTGATTTTGGTTTAGAAAGCACTTCAAATTTAAATGGAATCTTAATTAAATGCTCATTGGAGTTTGAATTTTCATTAACGATACTGATGACATTTTTCACCTGAGTTATTCACCCTGATTTTGCTTGTGACTTCTGAGCTTTTGGTGTCACCTAGTGGACATCGGTTTTCTCCCTGCACTTCTGTCCATTTGGTATTTCATGTGCATTTCACTCTCTCTTAGATAATGAATTGACTGTTGGGAAGGTCTATGCTGCTCTCATGATTTTCGACTATTATAAGCAGAACCGAGCCAAAAGACTCCAACCGCAGCAGGCTGCACCAGGCACACAGGTAGAGGATCTACAAATAACTACATTTATCTGTACAATTCTAATTATTAGATGTAGATGTTTAGCCATATTTTATTATCAAAGTATGTTATTAATTTTTAATATAGTCCTTCTGAAAGTGTTGTGTTTTGTCCTCAGAGTAAAGTTGGGGTTCTCTTCAGACCAATGCTTCCTCTCACACACTTGCACAGTCAGGAGCCACTAGTGCTAAAAGCCCCGCCCTCTTCTCAATTACATACCACACCACAGCCAGATGCCCCGCCCACATCCTTTCACCTGACCAATGGGGATGCAGTGTGAGTGTTCTACCATTCTGGTCTTTATAGTACTACACTTTCCATTTGAATTTTTCTTTTTTAATTTTACTGTATGTATGCCACAGACAAAGCCAGAGCAGTGCCATGAAAACGTCTCCTTCAGGAGACATACCTCAGGAAGTCACACAGGAAGCAAACAGAAGGCCTGTCCAAAGGGGCCAATCGGTAGACGTGCCAAACACATACAGATCTCAGGTGATTTGACCTCTACTAGTGATTCCTGAATCGGTCCTGTTTAAGTTACATGTGTCAGACATTTACAGGTCAGTTAAACAGTGTTTGTTTTGTCTGGCTCTGCGTGTGTTGCAGGAATTAGTTGAGATGACTGACATGGAGAATGACTCTGATGTGGGCGGGTATCCTGTGCTGGAGGGTCACGGCAGAGCTGCCTCCATGCCCAGACTCAACGCTGGCTTTCAGGTAAACATCTCCTATCCATCGTGGCCATATGAGGTAATTCTGGTGGGAGTTGAAAATAGCTGCTGCACTGCCTTTGTTTCTTATTCTGACTAAATTAATTCCTGCAAAGAAAGAGGCAGCTGGAGGACGTCTGTGCACAGATAGAGGGAAGAGGAGTGAATGGGCAGTTGTATGAGAGAATAGATGAATGGAGGTAATAGGGAGGGTGTATTAATGAATGCAGAGAGGAGGTGAAAAATTCAAGAAAATGAATTGGAGGAAGTCAGAAGAGGTTAATTTACTGTATACACCAATCTCCACTGAGAGACACATTTATTCTCTTCAGTTCAGTTGTGTGTGTGTGTGTGTGTGTGTGTGTGTGTGTGTGTGTGTGTGTGTGTGTGTGTGAGAGAGAGAGTGAGTGAGTGAGAGAAGAAGAGGGACAATGCAATGTCTACATACAGTATATTTACACTATATACAGAACTATATAAGAATGTTTTATTTTTTATATTTGTTGTAATTAAATCCTTTAATTTATTTTAACTTACACTGAAAAAAATGGTGCAGAAACAACTTTCACTCAGAAATTGATAAAAAAATTGCTAGAATATTTCACAATTAATTACAAAGAAGCCTGAACATTGAATTAAGCATTTTTTAAGTAGAAAGACTGAAACACTATTTTCTTATCAAATGTACTCTAATAATCTTTGCTTTATTTACATCTTGAAATATCTTTTTTACAATGTAGATATACGTAAGATGTAATTTCAGTGTTATTTTAGTATTTTTATGTAGTATTATAGTATTTATTAATATTTTGAATAAGCTTTCATTTGTTTTCAGTTTTTTATTTAGATTTTAGTACGTTTTTTTCTGTCTTATGTGCTTGTCATTTTAGTTTGCGATATTTAAAAATATTTGTTATATTTATATACTATATTTATGCTTTATTTTTTTTCAGTTTTAGTTATTTTAGTAATTCAATTTTTTTATTCAATTTATTTTTTTATACGTTTTCTTATTTAAGCTTACGTTGTTCAAATAAGTTTCATATTTAATTTATTTTTAACAAAAACAAAAAAAATGTTTAATTATTGTAGTTATCAGTAATAACAAGTAAAAACAAGTTTTGTTTTTGTATGTTTCATATTGAGTTTTTCCTCATTAACTTTGATGTTGCTTTTTAACTGTAAATTTATTTGTGTACATACTTGGTTTCTTTTGATTTGGTATTTTTGCCACATCGCTTAATAGACTCACACAGTCTCCAGCATCCTTGTTATAATGTCTTGTCTTTAGTCTCTTCCTGTCTTGTCTTGTCTGTCTCTTCTTTCTCTCCAACAGTCTTTATTACATCAAACTCACTGAACTCATTTCTCCACCTTTTATTTCGACACAATCTCTAATCCACCATCCCTAATTTTTTTAGGCACCTGTTTTCTGACCATACTGGACCTTGATATCCAGACTTTTCATAAACATCACTCGTTCTTACTCTGTCCCTCTTTTGTGCTCTCTCTCCTCCTATCTCACTCTGTTACTGTGTCCATGAGTGCCACAGCTGTGTGCCCTGCTCTCCTCACCTATGTGTCCTCTTCCTCTTCCCGTCCAACAGCGGAGCCACTTACGCCACACCGCCGGAACGTATCTAGCAGTATGTACAAGTGTTCCACCTGCAATCACTCTCCCTTTCTCTCTTTTTCTCCCTCTATCTCTCTCTGCCAGCCACTCCATTTCTATGTTGGCTTGTGTGTGCTTTATCCATTCCAGCTCTTTTAGAGTTCACACTCTTTTAGGAGTCCAATAAACTTGTATAACCACAATTCATATTAGCCTTGAGAGGTAAACACAAAACTAGCATGCACTACAAAAGCCATATATAGTAGTTCATCACTGTGGGTAACTATTTTACTAATGAAATAGATTAACCACAGTTTAGTTATAGGAATACAAAAAGTAAATACTAAAACGTGATGCTTATTTTATCTTGGATGTTGTTTGGTGCTAACTGTAAGTATGAGTGTTTCATTTAGTGGGTTGTGTATCATTTTGATTAGTGCAGTCCTCTCTTCACATATCTTTCAGCCATATACATGATTATTTTCATGTACACTAATGTTTGTGTAAGATTTAAAATAAAAGTTTTTGGAAGAAGTCTCTTATACTAACAAAGGCTGCATTTATTTGATCAAAAATACAGTAAAACCAGCAATATCGTGAATTAATATTGCAATGTTTCAGGGTTCTTTGATGAATGGAAAGTTCAAAAGAACATCATTTATTTTATAATAATAAATGATGTTTTTACAGTCACTTTTGATCAATTTTATGCATCTTTGCTAAATAAAAGTATTAATTTCTTTCAAAAGGAATTGCAATGGGGGAATAAGTCTATTGATTTTACTATCAACCATTGAAAACCTCATATTCCATATTCAGTGGATTGATTCTTATGGATTTTGTGCAGTTTAAAAGAAACATTTCAAGCTGTTTAAACTATGAGAAGAGGGGACGCACTGCTTCTTAGAGGTTCTGAACGATTATGCCACTAGGCGGCACTAATGAGTCTTTGTAGAAGACTTACAAAGGTAAAAATTCCAGTCATCACCAAGGAGTGGTCACGAATTCTCTAAAGAATCTGGTCTAAAGTGACAATTTAACATTTAATGAATATCTTTTTGATACTGTAAATACACATGTATACATACTGTATAGTATCTAGAGATTAACAGTAACAGTTAAGTAAGAAAAGCACCAGTCTCTTTATAGATCAGTGACCGCTGCTTGGCTGTGGATAGTTCATGCAGCAACTATTCCAGCTGTCCAGTCTGTGTGTAAGAGACGATTCGATGACAGCATTCAAACAGCAGAGTGTTTGCATCGAGCGTGACGGTGTTCCACTGTTCTCCGATGCGTGCGTGTGTCCGCAGGAGCGGGCTGAACGTCGCTCTTCAGTGGAAGTGTGTTTTCATGCTCAGCTGGTGTTGTGCGTCTGTTGTGACAGGTCTAGTGCTCTGAGACTCTTGTCATTTTAGTACTGTGCTAGACATGTGTCCTCTCCTTCATCCCCTTTCTTCGTCTTTCACATGTTAATTCGCTTTATTTCCACCACACAGCCTATCGCAGACGTGAGTCCCATGCGGCGGTCTGCGTCCTCGTTGACTCCTCAGAGAGGGGTGCGAGAGGTCAATCTGAGCGATTATGACCTGGAGAGGCCCAAGATGGCCCCGGGCCAGACCCTCACTCAGGAGAGAGAGAGGGACAGAGCTCATCATCATCACCATCATCATCACCGCTGCCAGCGGCGCAGAGACAAGAAGCACAAATCGCTGGATCGAGTCATCAGCGAGGAGCAGCCTCCCCATGCAGGTGGGCTCGATTTTCCTTTCTCATTCATTCTTTTACGCTTTTCAGCACATCCATGTGAAAGAAAATAATGAGTATTTCAGAGCACAAAAATGTCTTAGTTGAAGACCCCCTTTATCTGTTTTAACTAGGGCTGGGTATCGTTCAAAATTTTTCGATATCGATACCGATACCTGGACTTCGATACCAGTTCTTGAACGATACGTTTTTCGATACCAATTTTATGAAATCAATTTTAACAAGATTACATTATCTAAAAAAAAAAACTTTGATTTGATTTTTCAGCTTGTTGATGTTTATACAAACTCAAAGACTCATCTCCTGAGCCACTGCACAAAGGAACAAAATGTAACCAACACAAAAAATCAGTGCAAAATTGTTTTAATAAAGCTCAAATAGTCTTCAGTTTACTCATCTGTTAGGCTACATTTACACTAGTGCGTGTTAGTTTTAAAACGCATTGCTCAGACAGAATCATGATTTCTATTTATTTTCCACTGATTTACTGATGAGCATTAGCAGCTTCCAGCGCTGTCTGCTTGTGTTCTCTCTTCCATGATCGCTGCTCTGACTCAGAGGTAATAACATAGTTAATTTCAGCAACATTACATGGCCAAAACACACATTAGATGGCAGGTCCGGATTTACCTGTTTTCGTGACATAGAAAAAACATTTTGGATTTTGTCATTTGGAGTTTCAAGAACTGTATGTTCTTCAATAAAAACTATAGTTAATAAGGGAGGGGGGGGGGCATCTTTAGAAAATCTCACTTTAGAACTAGCAGCGAAGGAATGTTGAGTTCATTGCTTCATTGAAAGCTTATTGTATTATGAGAAAGAGATGGACTGAGCGAGTTTGATTGCATCTAATACAGCATTCATTCTTCAATATATACATCACATATTCACTATAAAAATTAGATTTTGCCCTCACTCAAAGCTATTTGCTCTGGAACAAATAATAGATTAATGCCTGGTAGATTTACCCAAAATTACTTATATCTTGTGTTTAAGAGACATCAGAGTCAGTGGCCAATTTTAATTAGAACTGACCAAGGTGAAGCTGCTCTCGGCACCCTGGAGCTCACATCTCAGAAAACGTTGAAGCAAATTTTCAAATAGACATTATCTTTATTAAAAACCACATATTTGAAGTCTAAACAACTATATTCTCACCTAAATAAACTCTTAAAACTACATTCCGTGACACAAAAACAGTATTATTTTTTAAATTATAGTGGATTTGGACATCCGCCATTACACTCGCTGTGGAGTGATACAAACGGTGAAATGGTTGGAGTTCTGTTATCACTAGAATATTGCACTCCTCTCAGCCAATCAGATTCAAGGACCAGACAGAACTGTTGTATAAAATTAAATAATACAACAGATTAAAATATTTTTGTCCTTATATCTTGTGTTTAAGAGACATCAGAGTCAGTGGCCAATTTTATTAGAACTGACCAAGGTGAAGCTGCTCTCGGCACCCTGGAGCTCACATCTCAGAAAACGTTGAAGCAAATTTTCACATAGACATTATCTTTATTAAAAACCAGGGGGGGCATCTTTAGAAAATCTCACTTTAGAACTAGCAGCGAAGGAATGTTGAGTTCATTGCTTCATTGAAAGCTTATTGTATTATGAGAAAGAGATGGACTGAGCGAGTTTGATTGCATCTAATACAGCATTCATTCTTCAATATATACATCACATATTCACTATAAAAATTAGATTTTGCCCTCACTCAAAGCTATTTGCTCTGGAACAAATAATAGATTAATGCCTGGTAGATTTACCCAAAATTACTTATATCTTGTGTTTAAGAGACATTCAGAGTCAGTGGCCAATTTTATTAGAACTGACCAAGGTGAAGCTGCTCTCGGCACCCTGGAGCTCACATCTCAGAAAACGTTGAAGCAAATTTTCAAATAGACATTATCTTTATTAAAAACCACATATTTGAAGTCTAAACAACTATATTCTCACCTAAATAAACTCTTAAAACTACATTCCGTGACACAAAAACAGTATTATTTTTTAAATTATAGTGGATTTGGACATCCGCCATTACACTCGCTGTGGAGTGATACAAACGGTGAAATGGTTGGAGTTCTGTTATCACTAGAATATTGCACTCCTCTCAGCCAATCAGATTCAAGGACCAGACAGAACTGTTGTATAAAATTAAATAATACAACAGATTAAAATATTTTTGTCCTTTTATATCTTGTTATATCGTGTTGCTATGCAGTTTGTTATATTATATTATATTATATTATATTATTAATTTTGTTTAAAATGTGACATTTGTTATATATAGGTATGTACAGTCTTTAAGGATTATGAAGAAAAATGGAGTACTATTTGAAATTCACAGCTTCTTTTGCTTAGCACAGTGATATAAATTATTTTAAGGATTACAGTGATCAGGTTATCGAGGAAAAGACTCTTTATTGCTCTCCTAAGCGCTTTGGTGTAGGATTTACTTTGTCAACCTCTCTCTTTGATTGAGAGCGGGGCTTACAGACCATTGCTAGAAAATGTGCTTTTGAACGGATTGATTTTTTGATATCGTGTTGCTATGCAGTTTGTTATATTATATTATATTATATTATTAATTTTGTTTAAAATGTGACATTTGTTATATATAGGTATGTACAGTCTTTAAGGATTATGAAGAAAAATGGAGTACTATTTGAAAATCACAGCTTCTATTGCTTAGCACAGTGATATAAATTATTTTAAGGATTACAGTGATCAGGTTATCGAGGAAAAGACTCTTTATTGCTCTCCTAAGCGCTTTGGTGTAGGATTTACTTTGTCAACCTCTCTCTTTGATTGAGAGCGGGGCTTACAGACCATTGCTAGAAAATGTGCTTTTGAACGGATTGATTTTTTGATTTTTGTTTCTTGGCCAGTTTGTGACATGACTGGGAAAAGTCAGCAGTCCGAGAGAGCAGCACGAGGAGAGCAATCTCTGGATGGCAAAATTAACCACCTGTTATTTCTTTATTACAAGATTCCTTCTCTTTCTCTCCTGCTCCTCACATTCTGGTCTTAGAAACACTGGAACACAAACATGTTTCTCAGCCGGAGTCTGGTTCTGCTGTTAATAGATCAGTCAGCTTTGACCGAGTTGAGACAGAGCAATACATCAGTCCACTGAAAGCTCATTTTAGTTGGGTGTGTTTGTACTCTGATTTCAAACACATACAGACACCCTCATACATCTTCCTCTACATGTTTTTGTTTCTCTGTAGTCAAAGATCACAACAGCACCAAACAGCAGGGCTCACACATGCACGCACACAAGTCACCAGGTCTTTTGTGGTGATATATAAGTGCCCTCTGGTGTTTTGAGTTCATAGTGATTTCGGGTTGGTGTTGGGCAGCAGTGTCTGATGTTTACAGACCAGTTAAATGGCCCCGGTGTATGGATACATTCATTTATAGAGAGAGAATATAAGCAGAGAAAATGAGAAATTAATAATTAATCATTTAATTTCATTTGAAATTACACATTTTTGAGTAAACAAACAACCCAAAAATTCAGCTTTGTCATGACAGGAATAAATTTGATTTTAAAATATATAAAAATTATTATTTTAAATTGTAATAATATTTCACAATATTACAGTTTTATGTATAATACATGCAACCTTGGTGATCATAAAATACCTTTTCCTCCAAAAACATTTTTTAAAATGTAACATTTGAACAGTAGATTGTATATGTCATTTAATAGATATAGTAAATTATTTTTATTTAAATTGTAATTTTTGCACTACAAAAATAATGATTGATTTTGAAATACCTCTCTCTGTCTTCCATTTGTTGGGCAAACAGATCCCACTCATCTGTTTCACTGTCAGTCCCACTTTAACTTTCTCACGCCACTGTTGCTATGTTGGGCTGGTCGCAACACTCAAACAAACAAGAAATGTTTTAAGAGAGCCACAGAACATCATATTTTAACATTTAAAAAATGCACAATTTAGCTGTGAATAGGACATGGCTGATTAATATATGTGATGTATTTTCATATACAACAGCAGATCCAAACACTGAGTCACTGCCTAGGGAACGAGCACGGGAGCGAGACCGTGGCCGTTCCCATGAGAGGAAGCACCATTCATCCTCAGCAGTGGAAAGGAAGCAGCGATACTACTCTTGCGACCGCTACGGCAGCCATGAGCAAGGCCACAGCGTGTCCGCTGGGCCCAGCAGATCCACATCGCCAGGAGAACCCCATGACCCAAACAGGCTTAAACAGGTCAGGTGGTTTCCCTCAGTCGCTCTAGCTTCCGCACATTGCTGTGTGGCAATGACTTACTCTTTCTCTTCTCTGCATTGTGTTTCAGGGAGTTAGCACAGCTAAAGGAACTTCAGTCGTTCATACCTCAGGCACCAGCACACCCTGCCGCGGGCGTAGACAGCTCCCACAAACGCCCCTTACCGCTGCCTTCTTTTTCAGCAGTCGTGGTTCTGGAAGTGTTTTCCCATTCATTGTCTTCATGGGAATTTCAAGCAAAACAATATACAAAAATACAGTTTTCTGATTTATAGTATCTTACGCAATTGTCATGATTGGCAAATCTCTTTACAGTATTAATTTATGAGTGGTACATTAGTTCTTTACCAGGATTTTTTGCTTAAGAATCTCAACAGTGGCTATGGAGAAAATGAATGTAATTTTTACCTGTGGAACCTGACTGTTGCGCTTTATTATATCTAAATGCAGGGGAATGCTGACTGTTGAAGTACAGTAGGGCTATGCAACAAAATGACACTTTAGGACTGCTCCTCATCCTGTAGCTTTACCTGCACTCAACACAATCTAGCTTTAGCACCAATGGGACCAATTCACCGCTTCACAGAAATCTTTACTGTATATATACAGGATGTGTAGCTCACCTAAAAATGCCAGATTTAAATGCAGATGCATTGCTGATTGTGTTTGATATTGATGTGCCCCCTGAAAGTATAACAATTAGTATAGTGGTATTTGTACTGGTTGCACTATAGGTGGGGAATTGATTTTGTGTTACGCAACCTGTCGCTTAAAGAAAGGTTAATGTAAAGACATTTGATTTCTTTATTTTTTTACAGTATGTGATGTCCTAGTCAACTACAGTACCTTTGGTCACTATTTCCGTTTTGGGATGGAGATGAGTGTTGTGAACCTAATAGATCTTTGACTTCCCTTTATTTAGACATCACCTTTCCTCTTTAAAAAAGTAAATAAAAACAGAAAAAAATATATACATATATATATGCCAGGTGCCAAATTTATTACAGCACTAGTTTGTGTCTGTGTGCTGTATACTTTGTCCAACTGACCTGTGGCTAATCTCTTTGGATGATGTCATGTTTGCATGTTATGATGACATACGTATGTGCATGTAGGAAACTGTATACCTTCATCCATGTTTTTCTATGAGGAGTTAATTGGCTGTTGATTTTTATTTTTATTTTTTAGAAACAATCTTTGATACACTTAGCCCTGGATTTCTGGGAGAAAATTAGAAGACCCTTCACTTCTCAGTTTGTTGTAAAAGAGATGTTGAAAACAGTGGAGCGATGCACAGAGACGACTGCCTCACTCCTGTGATCTGATGATCGATCTATGATGCCATATATTTCTTCTATCAGTCTTATCATTTCTACCATTTGCATTTTGTATGAAAGAGCATTACTGAATTGAGAAATATATGGAAATAAAACTTTGGGGAAAGAAAATTGTTGCCTTAATTTAATGTTTTTTTTTTGTTTTAGTTAATTGGCTGTTGATTTTTATTTTTATTTTTTAGAAACAATCTTTGATACACTTAGCCCTGGATTTCTGGGAGAAAATTAGAAGACCCTTCACTTCTCAGTTTGTTGTAAAAGAGATGTTGAAAACAGTGGAGCGATGCACAGAGACGACTGCCTCACTCCTGTGATCTGATGATCGATCTATGATGCCATATATTTCTTCTATCAGTCTTATCATTTCTACCATTTGCATTTTGTATGAAAGAGCATTACTGAATTGAGAAATATATGGAAATAAAACTTTGGGGAAAGAAAATTGTTGCCTTAATTTAATGTTTTTTTTTGTTTTAATTTGGTAATAAAAAATGTTTGTGCTATGGACAAAGCTGAACCTACACTCTTAAAAATGCTGGGTTAAATGTAACCCAGCGCTGGGTTAAAAAGGGACAAACCCAGCTATTGGGTTGTTTTGACCCAGTGGTTGGGTTAAAAACAACCCAACTGCTCGGTCAAAACAACCCAATAGCTGGGTTTGTCCTTTTTTAACCCAGTGCTGGGTTATATTTAACCCAGCATTTTTAAGAGTGTATGAAATGCAAATGACAAAAAAAAGAAAGAAAATGATACACTGGGCAACTTTTTGAGCAATGTTGCCGTCAACGGGCATTCAGATGAGATACAGGGCCCATGACCGATCTAAAATATCCCGATAGAAATTTGTTACCCATTCTCGGTTGGAAAGTGTCAAAGCAACATTGCTCAAAAAAAGTTGCCCCGTGTATCATCACCCTAATGTCTAAAAAAAAAAAATTAAATGAATATATTTTAGATTGTTAATATTATTGAATTATTAAATATTAACATGTTAAAATATTAATAGAATTTTCGTTTTTACTTATTTACCTGTACATTTCATTTAGAAGACATTTTTATCTAAAGTGACTTATAAATGAAGAATATCACAAGTAATTGAATACATTCAGGGGCGTCATGCACTCATTACTTTTGAGGGGGCACAATTGGGGGGGGGGTCGTCAGGTGACACACAGCAGCCGCAATAGCACTTATGTTCTTATGTTTTATTTATTTTAATTTTTTCCCCTTTTTTATTCGAAACATTCCCAAACGCATTAACTATATCATGAAATATCTCGATTCTCACCTATGTTAGTTGATCAATAGTGAGCGATGGCCTAATAATGTAGTCTGTTAACTATGTCTATGCATAAAAACCTGTCTGTTTACGTAATTAACAGATATGGGTGTCATGCCATAACATAGTTTTAATACGACGGACTTTATATTTAATGTGAATTTAACATTGAAAGTTAATGTGAATAAAAACATTGCAAGTTAGGCTACTAATCATAACAATCCCGATAGAAATTTGTTACCCATTCTCGGTTGGAAAGTGTCAAAGCAACATTGCTCAAAAAAAGTTGCCCCGTGTATCATCACCCTAATGTCTAAAAAAAAAAAATTAAATGAATATATTTTAGATTGTTAATATTATTGAATTATTAAATATTAACATGTTAAAATATTAATAGAATTTTCGTTTTTACTTATTTACCTGTACATTTCATTTAGAAGACATTTTTATCTAAAGTGACTTATAAATGAAGAATATCACAAGTAATTGAATACATTCAGGGGCGTCATGCACTCATTACTTTTGAGGGGGCACAATTGGGGGGGGGTCGTCAGGTGACACACAGCAGCCGCAATAGCACTTATGTTCTTATGTTTTATTTATTTTAATTTTTTCCCCTTTTTTATTCGAAACATTCCCAAACGCATTAACTATATCATGAAATATCTCGATTCTCACCTATGTTAGTTGATCAATAGTGAGCGATGGCCTAATAATGTAGTCTGTTAACTATGTCTATGCATAAAAACCTGTCTGTTTACGTAATTAACAGATATGGGTGTCATGCCATAACATAGTTTTAATACGACGGACTTTATATTTAATGTGAATTTAACATTGAAAGTTAATGTGAATAAAAACATTGCAAGTTAGGCTACTAATCATAACACTTTCATTGTACAGAAAGCGAGCAAAGAACATTTACATTATCAAAGAAGATTTTCACTGACAGCCTAGAGTTCAAGCACTCTCAAAAACTCCCATTAAAATCCCTGAAGCCGTTTACACTGTGAAATGAATATCTTATTTATACACACATCTGCACTTTGTTGTTTCTGACGAGAGAATTCGCCAGAAAGAGGTATTCAATCAGCGAGCGAGTGAAGAAAACTCCAGCATTTTAGCGATGACTCATCGGAACACCTCTGATTGGTCATTGCATTCATAAGCTCAACAGCATCGTGTGTGATTGGTTATAATGCAGTCTGCCTCTGGCTCCACGCCAGCCAGCGAACGCAGGTTTGAATTTAGCAGCTGATGATATGGTGCACTGAACGATTTAATCATGCTGGTGTGATTGTATCAAATATAGAAAATATTATTTGGCTATTTTTTGTCTTTTGGAAGCTGCATTCAAAATCCACTTGGCTCAAAATCACTTTGAATGGGCATGACGCATCTGCATACATTTAAACTAGGTTAGTTCATAAGCTAAAGCACAAGTATAAAATATTTGCACTAAAACACTGCAACATGCACTCATATATACAGTTTATGTAGATTGTCATATGTAATGTAGCCTATATGAAAATATATATGTTATTTTTATATTATTTAGTGACGTACTACTATTTTTTTAAATGTTAAATTTTTTATTTCATTATTTGTTTATTTGATTAATTCATAATTAGTACTTTGATCCAGCACAGTCCTCCTCAGCCATTCTCGCGCACTGAGATGTTAATGAGTCTTGAGATGCGGCTTCTTCTCATTGGCCAGTGGCGAGGGTGTGGGCGGAGCCCCTCGAGCAAATACTGTGCTGATGAGGGTGTCTGGCGGCAAGCGCGCGGTGTTCGCAAGGTGAGTACAGTGACGCTGAGGCGCGGCCGAACTTCAACGGTAGACAGGCGCCACTCCATTATTAACGTCCTCAGACCGTTCTCATTAACCTCTAAGCAATTAAAATGCGATGAACAATCATAGTGCCTGTCTTACTGCTTTATAAATTAGGCAGAAATGATGCTCGCGTCTGTACTGTGGACAGCTGTTCTATTTACTCTTGTAAAAGCCACCATCCTGGACAGCGGTCCAACTGAAGCACCAGACGTGGAGAGCGGCTCGGGGATGCTGCTGACAGGTAAGACGTCAAAATGTCATTAATTACTGTAATTATTGTACCTAATAGAGTATTATGTTCGTTTGTTTACACTTCTTGAGAATAGCGCGTTACAAGGTGCCTGACTGGCCATTATTGTTGCTAATTTGCATGTTTAAATGTTCTTTTTTTGTAAATGGTAAATCCAGTCTAACTTTTGTATCGTATTTTTAATCTAAGATGTGATCTTAAAATAAGTGATTGAAAGATAAACTTTCTCTCATACATAGGAAATATTAACTTATTGTCTTAATGTTGAAAGTTAATTTTTGTAAACGTTGTTTTATCAATATGTTTGATGTTCAGTGTTTGCCTCTGGGAGCCGCTGTTGTTTCAAGTTTTACTGTATATAGGTGCAGGTACTTCAGCAATGAACTATTTTGTTACCCCGCCTGTTTAAATCACACAACTGCTGTTTTTCCAAACATGAAGGCTGAACCAGTGTGAACGCACACATATGTTAAACACTGGACAGTGATTATTGCATGAAGCACCTCGCCCGTTCTTGCTGTTTTGTCCAAACACATGTTTAACAGATTTGTGGCAGATGTGAGGGC